TGTGGACCTCTCAAGAGTAGATCACCTACAATGTCAAGGTCAGGATTTGGAGTTCCCTACATTTGGGTTTCCCTGGTTCCTTGGTAAATGGAGGTGTCTTAGCAGAGTTCCATGAAGGCTTGTACAAATGGGCTCTCTGATCACTTTCCTTATCTTTTGAAGAAGAGACAGAATTGGAGGACAGGATTATATATAGTTAAGACTGCCATTTTGTGACCATCTATTTCTGTCCCCACTTGTATTGGGGTCAGGGTTCACATATGCTATGTCTCCTCCTTGTCTGTATCAAACTTTTTACCAATGGCTGAGGGTATACCCAAGGAAGAGTGTCTGGCAGAGAAAAGAAGGACGTTTCCAATGATAACTGAAATGAAGAGAAGAAAACGGAAAGAGAAAGGGGAAAACTAGCCTGATTCCCCCAAGGACATCCCATGGAGAAGTGAGAGCTGGGTACAGATTTCCAGTGTCTTTCAGGACACTGAACATGTGTAATCTCAGCTTTGGTGGATGCCACACAATGTGACTTTTGTTTCCACAGCCTTAGATCTGAGCAACATGAACCTATGTCATCAGCTTGGGGACAAACAGTGGCTTTGGGCCACCCTCCAGCAGGAGAATGTGATCTCCTTCCAGTGAGCCTCTTGTGAAGGGTGTTGACTCTTGCTTGGTTATTGCCTGAATGAGAAAGTGAGGGAAAAGCTGAGTCTACAGTTAGAAGTGATATCTTATTATAATCATTATATTTGGATACTGGAAAGCCAATATCCAATCAAACAAGTTGAGGAAGTGTCATAACCTGAGAGAGTATGAGGTTCCTCACAGTTTGGATAGCAAACTAGAGACTGGAGAGGAACAATCACAAGATATCTTCTAAGTGTCATCCAATTAAGAGGAGGTTCTATCCTCAAGAGAAGGAAAAAAAATCAATCCAATTTATATTACAAAAAGAACGAGGTCCCTGAGTCGAGAGACCATATTGGTTGGAGGAGGTAGGGCACCCAAAATTTAGTAATTAGATGTTTTTAAAAGTCATGAGAGGTTGAGTCACAGAAATCACAGGAAAAAAATCATTCATGTTGGCCATACAAGCATTGACTTGACAGATGCTGTTTTTGTCTTGCTCTGGGAAGAGCGTAATTTTCCCAGTTCAATGACCCAGTTATCCTGACACAGGAGCCTCTTAGCAGTAGACACCTTAATGATTTTTTTCTGACAGTATTTAATATCTCCTAAAATATTATAATGAACTTTCATAAAACAACCATATAGATATTAACAAATAGTAGTCTGATAGGCACATGCATTTGTATATGTTGTAATGTTTATAACTTTTGATATATAGTTAAACCAGCTATTTAACACACTGAGGTATCTGTTGTGTCTAATCATTAATGCACATACTTTTACACTGAGGATTTGAGCCCAAGCTTTGTACTTTTATTCTACACGCTCCCCACCCCCACTGCTGCTTTTTTTTTTCCTGAGATAGTGTCTCCCTGTAGCCCTAATGATTTTTTAATAACCCAATCCGTTCCCATTGCTTAATGGCAGACAACAGAGAAGTTTTAAAGGTGAAAGGAACAGCCAAGAAAAGGTAGTGGAGAAAAACAGTCCCCTCCCTCTAGGGACTTCAGGGGCTTACATTCTGAAGGAGAAGCAAGGTGTGAGAGCAGTCTTGCCATGGGAGGGGTGACTTAGTTTTCTCCAGTCACAGGACCAGAGGCAGAGCTGTTTCCTCCTCACTTCCCAAAGATTTCATGTGGCCAGAACCATAATAGCTCATAACAGACAGATTTCTGCTGTTCTAAGTCTCAGAGACACCTGTCACCCCCTTCTTCTCATTCTGTTCTTAGTTTCTGTCCCTTTTAATAACCTGTTTGCTCCACAGGCAAGCCTACAAAGTACTCATGCAAACCATAAAAGAAGTATAAACCATGTTAGTGTTTAAATGTCAGGAATAGATATTTTGTAATTCAGGCATTTGTAGAGAAAGCAGAAGAGAAGGAAAAGGGAAGGAAAAAAAATCTTAGACTACAAATAGCGAGAGTTAGGTTCCATTCTGGGGAACAACTTAAGAGAAGACAAGGAATCACAAGTGTTCTAATTTCAGAAATAGCAAAATTTAATGACCAGATTTATGCAAGGCCAAAAGAAAATGGAAAAAAAAGAAAAGGGAGAGAGAAGATAAAGATGATAGTAATTAAAGCACTTTAAAAAAAAATCCCAAGCAGGGTAAGCATTTTGGTCCGGCAAGCAGAAATGGTAGTCGAAGGCAAAGGATTGCAGGGGATCTCACTTCCTTCTTAGCTGGGAGGAGGCATATGCTGTCTCTCTTTCCTTCCCTTCTTATCATCTCCATCCTGGGTTAAGCTTTCTGTAGGATATCAAGTCACAGTCACTCATTTTTCCCAAGAAACTGAGTTCTGTCATCCCAGAAGCCTTACAGGCCCTGCTTTTCACAGACCAGGCAAGGGAGGGTAGAAGCTGCAGTCTGATGGCTCTCCAACCAAACTGGCTAGTTCAGCCATCTCTCTGCCATAGATGCCACGGACATCAAAATGAAAAAGGGTTAGAATGTACTGAGGGAAATTTTTATCAATAAGATAGAAAATAATGTTATTTTCTCACATAGTGGCTGGTCAGGGTTGGGGCTAGGTATTTCCAGGTTCTTGTTTTATCCAAAAAAGTGAAAATAAGGGGCTCACTGATACTGCTCGCAATGCACTTGGCAGCCCATTTCCTTCATCCGCATGTAGTAAGGAATCATCAGTGGCAGCAACAGAATAGATGGACTTGCCAACAAGAGTAAAGGCAAGCAGGCAAAAGCAAAGCTTTTCTTCTTCCATGTCTTTTTATCTAAGTTGCCACCAGAAGATGCTACCCACATTTGGGGTGGGTATCCCCACTTTGAATCATCTGATATCAAGAAGTCCTCACCAGAGCACTCAGTAGCTTTCCTTTTGGTTGACTCTAGATTCGGTTAAGTTGACAAGCAAGATTAGCCATCGCAGCTGTCAACTTGACTGAATCTGGAATCAACTAAGAGACAAGTCTCTGAGCATGTCAATGACAGTATCTCCAGAAAGGATGAAGTCTATAGAGACCTCCCCTCCAGGGAGTACAGCACCTCCAGGTGGCAGCCCACATATAAAGAGGGCCCAGGGGAAAAAAACAGTGCTGCCTTCCCCTACCAGCCTTTGCTCCCTGCTAGTATCTAGTCCGTTGCTGTTATTGCTGCTGCCATCCTTGCTAATCTTGGCACCTAGGCATTCCAATGGAGCCTGAAGACCACCATCCCTGCAGGAATCCTCCAGGTCTTCAGAACTACAGTGGAACTGCCAAAGTCTCCGGTCTCATGGACTGAGAAGCTAACAAATTCTCAGCCTCTGCAGTGTGCAGCCACTGTCGGACCACCCAGCCCATATCGAGTAAACCAATATACTAAATCCCCTTTCCAATATATTCTAATATTATAGAATTCACTACATAATTAATGAATATATTCTAAGATGTTCATTCTATTGGGTCTGCTCCTCTATACTACAGATTATATACACTAAATTTTGAAAATCATGGCTGTAAAGCAATAATCTCCAAAAACTCAACTATATATCTTAATAACAAAAACCTTTTAATGCACACCTCCAATATATGTATGCTTATTTATAAATTGTGTGGGAGCAGATATATATTTTTCTACAAATGCATTTGGTACACTGCAAATATATAAAAATAGAAATTGTAAAAAAATGATATTTACTATTTCTGTCTGCTCGACCAAGAGGCAAGTAAAAAATATGCACAGCTTTTTATTTAATTTGTAAAACATTAACAAAAAGAAAGGAAAAAAGAATAAAGAGCACACAAATGTCAATTAAAAAACCAAGGCTTTTCTATAAAACTTATTCCACTTCAAATAAAGAGATGGAAAATGCTCACTTTTAATCTTAGTATGATGAAGAAAGAACCAGGGTGCTTCTAAAAGACTTAATTCTCATCATCAAAGGGACATTTGATTGATAAATCAGACATACAGGCAACATGAGGAAAAACCGATTACACTGTTTTAAGGGTCCATAATAATCAAGGGTGGTAAAATTAGACATAACCGGGCATGCATCACAGATTTTAACAAGTCAAATTACAGATGATATCAGAGTGATCCTAGTTCTAGAGACTCCAAAAATGAATACACTTCAAGTCATCGGAAATAATACACAGATTATAGGAGCATGATTCCAGCAGAGAGACAAGGAAAAGGTATCCATATGTTTAGCTTCTCATTTAGGAAATATAATGAAGTTCATTTAATAGGAAAGCAAGTGTTTTAATTACTGTGTTAAATATCAAGGGACTACTGCATACCAAATGTTTGATAAGGAGTACCCAGCATCACTCCACTGTTTCTAATGACCAAGGAGAGGCCCAATAATCTACAGTTCAATGACTGAGCATCCCCTACAGGGTAATATTGAAATATAAATGAAAACTCTTAACTTATTCCGGAACACTTCCTCTACTCTGGCAAAGTCATCTCAGGTTTTCAAGTGCAGATTGCAGATATGTAATGGGGAAAACTGAATCAGTCTAGGAAGTTCCCCACAGGGGCAGTCTGTGAATAAGAGTCCAAACAATAGGGACCTCACTAAAACTGTATGTATACACTTAAGTATCCACTTACCCACTGTCTAAACCATAGTTTTCTCTTACCTACCAACTACTCAAATATGTCAGAATATGAGCAAGATCCCAGACCTGGGAACACACACACACACACACACACACACACACGCACACACACACACACACACAGGATAGTATTTATGTGTACTTGGGAAGACATCTCTTTTGATAAATCCAACAATTTCAATATTACAGTTGTGATCCACAGTCATTAAGAAACCAAATCTCTTCGGAGCATTAATGACAAGTTTTAAGCTTTATACTGTAGACAAACAAGTTTAACAAAATACTCATAAAAGTATAATTTGAGAGCTCACCTTTCGACAACCAAACTGATGGCTTGTGTGAGATTTGGGTTTGCTGCCTGAAGACGTTTCCACAAAGACCATACAAATTCTTTGTCAGCCTTAAAAAAAATATATATTTTAAATGCATTGCTTTGTATTGTTAAGACAGACATTACACTAAATTTAAATGTAAAAAAGAAATTATTTTATCACTACTTCTATATACTAATGAAGTCTTTAAAAGTATGGTAGGAAAACTTCATTTTAAAATGTCCTTACACAGACAGACCATATTCTAGTATTAATACTCCTATCACACTTTTGCAGTGCAAATGTTGAAATACTGAGTATCAATGTAAATTTATTCCACAATTGCCTTTCACCTATTGCTCAATTTTCTAGTTCCCCTTTTCAGCGAAACTCCCTGAAAGAACTGACTATAATCTCCACCTCTACTTTCTCAATCATCACCCTCTCTGTAACATATTCCAATAAGATTTCTCTCTCACCACTGTGCTAAAATCATCTCCCAAGGTCTTCTGCACCAAGTTCAGTGGACAATCAATGCATTGTGTGAGACACATTGGCCACATCAGCTATTACTAAGTCTAACAGGAATCAGTTGAAGAGTTTTAAAAAATAATGATGAAGATTCTGATTAACTACCCTCAGACAAGTTCCAAGTATCAGAATTGTTTGAAAGCTCTTCAGCTGAATCTGTGCATTCAGAGAACCAATATTCTTAACTGATCTTATCAGTCCCATAGTTTTACATATCAACCTTTCCATATTTCTTCAATCCAGACTTGTATCTCCAACTGTCTCCTTGGTAATTCCATTTGAATAAGCATCCTAAATTTAATTTGTTTGAACTACAAGTTTTGATAGATTACTCACTCACAAACTTAGCCTCCTAAACGTCAGGAAAACATCACCATCTACTCATTAAGTCAAACATCTAAAATATAGAAGTCAATCTTGATGACTCTCCCTCATACTATCCATACATATATACATGTATCCATATATATACATGTATAAAATATATCCTAGTTCTTTTAAATTTTATTTATTTATATATTTATTTTTATGTGTATTGAGTGTTTTGCCTGCATGTATGTAAGTGCACCTGTGTCATAAAATGCTCACAGAGGCCAGAAAACATTGTCTGATTCCCTAGAATTGGAGTTACAGATGGTTGTTAGACACAATTTGGGTGTTGGGAACTGAACCTGGGTTCTTTGCAAGAGCAGCCAATGCTCTTAACCACTGAGTCATTGCTCCAGCCCCAATATATATCCCAGTTCTAAACATCCATCCCAGTTTTCAGCACTTGCATCTCTAACACCCTAGTCCACATCAATTCCATCTCATTTATGTCTCTACAATAGGCTCCTAGACTCATAGTCAAAATTCTCCAGTGGAGTACCAATAAATTGGGAAAATAACCCAAACTCTTTACCAAGACTATAAAACTACAAGTAATCTGATCACACACGTGCAAGCACGCGTGCGCACACGCGCACACACACACACACACACACACACACACCTCTCCAAGATCTCTATCATTCTCCCCTTTATTGAGGCCAACTTCTTGCTCTATTTGAATCAGAGCCTTGGACATAATACACTATTAACCAAGTTTTCATATAGATATCCCCTCATTTCACTCAAGGCTTTGCTTAAACACTACCTTGTCAACAGAAGTTGCCCCTGACTATGTGACATGTACAGCTACCAAAACCCACAAGTCTGTTAACCCTTTATCCTAATTCATGTTTTAAGTGTGTGTGTGTGTGTGTGTGTGTGTGTATGTGTGGATATGAACCACAGAGGACAACTTTTCAGGACTAGATTCTCTTGTTCTGCTGTAGGATCTGGGGGTCAAACTCACGTCATCAGGCTTGCACAGTGAGCACTTGTGCCCACTGAGGCATCTTGCCAGCACCTATTTTCACTTTTTTTTTTTTTTTCGGTCTTTTTTGAGACAGGGTCTCCCTGTAGCCCCAGCTGTCCTGGAACTCACTATGTAGACCAGGCTGCCCTTGAACTCACAGAGATCCCCCTACCTCTGCCTCCTGAGTGCTAGCACACTAATCCAGTGTCCTTTAGGGTTTACCTTGTGTGACAGGTATGTCAAGAATCCATCATGGTTCTTTCCTGTCAGCCACAGAAACCTCCTTGGCTCTTGGCTGGCCAGTTATCACACTGGCCTCTCTTGCCTTATGGACTATGCAACTTCCTCTTCCAATCAATTGTAAGAAGCATTACAATTTACAGGAAATATTAAAATTAAATTTATGTTAACTAAACATGTCACAAATACATTCTCCAAGTATTATTTACAGTGGGAATCTTCTTGGAAACATTTCCATTACGGCTTAGGGACTTTAGCTACCAGTTTGAAAGGCTTTCTCCATTGTAAAATTAGAAACGCATTTATGCACTTTTTCCTTGTAGAATTTTTTAACTATCTTCTTAACTGACAAATAAGAATTGTATATACTTATGGTACATAATATGAGGCTTTGATATATGTATACATTGTAGAATGGTTAATAAATGTAATGAACATCACCTCATATGCACATATTTTCTGTGGTAAAGAAGTTAAAATCTATCCCTTTATCAATATATTATGTCTAGTAATGTTTTAAAAAGTAAATTCTGTGGTAAGTGATAAAATGTCACACATGGATTGTTGGAGTATTGTTTTATGTAACAGCTTTAAATGCTGTGTTTTCTTCAATGTGGATTATATGTCTACTTATTAAGTACCGTATTTCACATTTAAAAAAATAAAGAAAATGCCTCACCCCAAGGAAATGCAGAACACTTTCTTTTTCTTTTTTAGCAGAACTAGAGATTGAACCCTGAGTCCTGTGCATATTAGGCAACTACTCTACCACTAAATTATATGTCTATCCCAAGAACTACAAAACTTGTTTTCAAAAATCCCAGATATTATGACAAGAAAACTATTATTAATGGTATTCCCTTCCTTAGATATTTTTTAAAAATTAAAGCCTTTTCAATTACTTATAAGTCTTTTACTCTCACTACAGAACTTCCAAACAAGCTCAAATAATTTAAAACTGAAATAAAATTTCCTAACCCTTTTCACAATGTTTATTAACTACAGACTATGAAACACTCCATTTTTTTAAAAGCTTTGTGTATGTGTGTGCCTTTGTATGGGTGTGTGCACCTGAATGTGAGAACCAGCAGAGGCAACAAGACACCAGATCCTTCTGGGCCAGAGTTCCAAAGAGTTGTAAGCCACCCTATGTTGGTGCTAGGAATGAAATTTGGGTCCTCTGCAAGAGCAGTGTGTGCTCTAAATTGCTGAGCCATTTCTCCAGCCCCTGACCAACAGGTGATTTAAAGACTAAGTGATTTCAGTCTAAATTTCCTTAAAAAAAGATAGGTCTTTGTCTTTTATTTATCTGTTTACATGGATATAGGCAACATCTATACAAACAAATCAAAACTTCCACTATTCTCCCAACACCTAGATTAATGTTAAAATGTGTTAGCCCTTCAATTTACCTCTTCAGGAGGTTTAAATTCAACAAACATCTCAAAACTACTTCCTGCATTTAGACAAATTTGCCCACAGAAACCTAAAGAAGACCATGAAGCAATTCCTTTACAAAATATTGCAGAAAGTAGACACTCAATAAATTATTACAAGCTTAACTACACAAAAAATTACCCTATTAGAATACAGCTTCTAACAACAGGAAGAATCTCATTACAAAATACATTCCTAGGTTTTGGGAAAACCGGTTTTGAATACCTAGACAAAATGCAACTTAATTCTCTATTCATATATTCTGATTTCCAATATCAAATACTTCTAAAAAGTTTGACGTCAAACTTGGTTATGAGCATATATGTCATTTAAATGCCCTAAATAATTTTCACCTGAAACTGATTTGTACTTAGTAACTATCCTGGACTGCTCACACGCATGCACGCACACACACGTAACACACGCATACGAGCACAAGCTTCATAAACACATTTTTTTCTCATCTGGTACTCCATAAATGGTGATAAATGTGCAAATACACATACCCTCCCATATTTCCTGTCACAAAAAAATATATTCTTGAAAGATATAATAAAAATAAACAATAGGATGAAATTAGACTCTAAACAAATTAAGGCATAAAACTGAAATTACCATTTGGAACATCCTTGAAAATTCCTCAGGTAAATGTTACATATAAAAACTACTCTTCTCACTTTTAAATTAATAAGCCTTTCTCCAGCTAAGCATTCCATACAGTTTCCTTGCTAATCTAGGGGTGACACAAAAATGCTTGACTAGATAATACAATCATATAGAGTGGGTTCAGATGCTCATATGAAGGGAAACATTTATTATCCATTGCATGTTTTTTTCTGAGGCATTCAAAAGTATTAGAATAGTGCATGAACTCATCCAAACTTTTCCTTCACCAATCACATACAATTTAATAAATTAAATATAGAAAACAGAAACTTAACCCAAACTAATCCACTAGTCACAGTTATGGAGTAACTACTGTTCTTTCTAAAATGGATGTTTGACCCATTACAGGGTTTTGTAATTAACTTATATCTCAAAAACATTTTAAATATTTTATTATTTTTATTTTTTAAAGATGTATGAGAGTATTGCCTACATGCGTGTAAATGCACCCACGTCATGCAATGCCCGAGGAAGTCAGAAAAGCGTATTGGATTCCCCTGGAACTGGAGTTACAGATGGTTGTTAGCCACCATACAGGTGCTGAGAATCAAATCTGGGTTCTCTTGCAAGAGCAGCCAGTGCTGTTAACTGCTGAGCCATCTCTCCAGTTCTCAATAATAGTTTTAAAAAGAGAATAAAATACCAGAGGACTCTCCATTAAGGTAAATACTCTCTCCACAATTACACGTATGAATGAATACATGTGTTCTGTGTTGGTTGAGATATAAAATGAATTTATTTGGGGTTGCAATTTCTAACAAAATTTTAATACTCTCAAATGCTGTGATTTCTAGGTGAATAAATAAGTAGAATTTGTATTAAAAATGGTTTAGCTTTATTACAAAACAATTGAAGTTTGATTATTCTGCCCTAATCTTCCCATGAGAAGGAGCCCAGCTTGGCTAAAATTTTGTGGGGAGAGATACTATAAACCTCATTCCATTTCACATTACTAGAATGTCTGCGATCATCTAACAGTAGTCACCAGATCTCACGAACCATCATTTTAGTTCATTTGGACCATTTTTATATTCTTACATCTGCTTCCAGGATTGCCATCATTTCCTGCTCTGGATATGTTCGAGACCAAAGGCCAAAGCCCTACTGGAAGCCACATTTTAAAGAACACAATAGTGAGTGGATTTAGGGGGAACTGGTCAAGACGTTTTCAACAGACTTCCTTAATCACATGAGTCATAAAAAGTATCTTAGTTAATTAGTCAAGTAAGGATAGATACACGGGGTAGGACAGTGTAAAAAATTTAGACAGTGTCTTGGATTATGACTTTTTAATAAAAGGTTTCAGCATGAGTTTACATCTTTACATTCCCCAAAGGTAAAGTTTCCACTTGACAAAAACCCTTAATTCAGTGGTGTAGTTTACTTCTTTTGCCAGTGAATAGAAAATGGGACATTTTAAAAGGACAGCAACATAATTGCAAAACTATATTACTTTGTTTTTAAAAGCAAAGATCTATGAAAGGAGACAAAGGAGCCCAACAGAACTCAAGGGAATGTGTTTCAGCGTTTAATTGATCTAAACTGGCAATACTATTCACAAAGTTTTCTTGGTGTTGGCAGTTCCTAATTGGTATATCTTAAAGACAGTGACTTTTTAAAAGCCCTATAGTTGACTGAACTGTCAACAATTTATTTTCTAACCCTATATAAAGGTTCGGGCAAAATCTGATGATACAAGGTTGTAATCTGGTGGTTGTAAGGAGGAAAAACTAGAGAAGACTAAACTTCTGTGCACTTAAGGACAGACAAGCTCATCCCTAGCATACACAGACTGTAAAAATAATCAGCAAAGCAATGTTGATGTAACTGATTTAGCAAATGCTTTTCACTGGCCAAGATCCCATGGAAATACTTGGCTCTCACAGTCTATGGCATTGCTGTAGGTCCACAAGTGAATACAGAGCATCCTACTCACTGCTGGGCGAAGCGCCCGCCCAGTCCCAGGCACTCTGAAAAACGTGTTTGCAACTTCAGTCTGACAGTGTAAGAACAAGGGCAAGTGTGGGCTGGAAGTTATAAACGTACTTCATAACGAGCTTTATTTTAACACAAGTACGGCAATGTCCCGGTCACGGCAACAAGAACGCACAGGCGCAGGACGCTGGGCGGCGGCGGCCACCGCGCCTTCGGAGCATAACAAACCCGGCGCGGCCAGCTGAGCACCGGACCCGCACGAGCCCCGGCGTCCCGCAGCCCTAACGGCGGCGCGGGGTGCGCGGCCCACGGGGCTCGCCAGGCGGCGGGCGTGGCCGGCGGAGGGGGCGGGAAGGCGGGCGGCGGGCCGTGATACCTGACACAGGGCCAGCTCCTCCTTCAGGCTGCTCAGCTCTTCCTCCAGCAGCTGCGTCCCAGTCACCTTCGCCTCCACGTCCTCCGGCCGCCGGGACCCCGCGGGCGCGCTGACCAGGGGAGCGTGGGTTGGAGAGGCCCCGCCAGGCCATCGCCGCGCCCCCGACCCTTCGTCGCCCATCCGCAGGACGTCGCTTTTATCCGCCACGACGTCACGCTCGGCCTCGCTGTGAGCAACGTGCAGCTCGGCTCCGCGGCCGACGCGCCGGGACCGGAAGCACGACTGCGGCCCTGGAGGCGGAGGCAGCCGGGAGAACCGCGACCGCGCCGCCATGGCCGCGGCTCCTAACGGGTCAAGTTCCCGCTTGGAAACTCCACCTTCCCTTCCCCATCCTGAGGAGTCCGGCGTGCTGGGCTGCGCATGCGCCAAACTTTTCCCGCCTTGGTGCGCGGGGTTTCGCGCCCCCGGTCCCTGTCGGCGTCCTGCAGGCGGCTCTCGGGGCGCTCAGGCAGTGAGCTGCGCGTGCGCGCCGGCCTGCGGGCTGAGGCCGCCAACAGGGCTGTGCTGTGCGGTCCCTTGGGCCACAGGGTCGACTTTCCCGCGCTCCTAGAGCCCTGCCCTCTTTCTTGTCGGCCTGGTTGACATCCCCCTCTTCAAGCCTCTTACAGGCCCTGGTCCCCACGTGCGTGGCTCTGCCAACTCGTTTGTCGCGTTTCATCCGCTGCCCTCAAGGTTGAGTTACACGGCCAATCTCTCCCACGTCAACGCTGCCAAAGCTCCCCGAGGTCAGGGAGCTGGGTTTAGACTCCAGCGTTTTGCTCACACCTTTGGTAAGACTGCCTTACATGCAGCCAGCATCTACACTAATAGTTTTCCAGTAAGCTAGATTTGCTCTTTTTATTTTTTTTCCAGAAAACTTTCTAGAAGCTGGTGACACAAGCCTCTAATCCCAGCACTCTGAAGGTAGAGACAAGCAGGGCTGGGTGAGATTGAGACCAGCCTGGTCAACAATACTGAGTTCCAGGCCATCTGGGGCTACAGGGAAACCCTGGCACAAAACAAAGCAAAAAAAGGAAAAAAAGAAGAAAAAAAAAAAAAAAAAAAAAAAAAGGAAAGTTTCTAAAGTACTTGGGAAAAATTGGCGACTAAGACACTGAAAATAAATGACTACTTTCAGAATCGTCTGTGCCAGAATTTAGTCAGCATAGCAGAAGACAAACGCCCGATTATTATGCTACGAAACTGAGCAGTTGTCCTTACCACTAACATGAAGATGCTGCAAAATTTATTTTGAAATTATATTTTAAAAGTTACCTGTAGGGTTAAGGGAGATGACTCAGTCCTCATAGTGTTTGCCACGCAAGCATGAAGACTCAAATTCAGTCCCCCACAAGCTGATAGAATGTGTGAATTGCAGAAGAGCCACAAGCCTCATTAGGGAAAGCCATAAATCCGTTAAAGTGTCTTAACTGGCCCTAAATTGGCAGCCTGGCCTTGCTCACACCTGGGCTCTGCTCACCCCTTATCAGTTGGTCATTCCCTGAGAAAAATGTTTATGGAGCCAACCTATCTCCTCTAGGGCCATAGATAACACTCCTGCCAGTTTCTGGGGAAATAATCGTGAAAGGGAGACCCTCAATCACTCCAAGGACACCAAGCCCAGAGACTAACTCAACTCCCCACTAAGTGCAGCTGTGTCCCACAACCCTGGTATAAAAACCCCCATTTTCTTTGTCTAGTTGTAGATACTTGGTTCCTGTGGACAGCCTCTACGTCTCACTGTATCTTCTTTGAATAAAGACAAGTATATTCCTTGCCTGTTGCAGGTCTGGCTCTGGTTTCTTGTCTCCTATGCTATTTTTCCTTTTATTTTACAAAATTCTAACATGACCTACATAAAGATCAGGCCCAGTGGCCTCAGACTGTAATCCCAGCACTGGGGAGGAAAAGATAGATTCCTAGGATTTACTGGCTAGCCAATCAGCAAGCTCTAGGTTCAGTGAAAGACCATGTCTCAAAACATAAGAGGGAGAGTAACTAAGACACAGAACCTCCAGCCTCCACACTCGTACCTGAATACTCAAGTGCACACAAACATATATACACAAAAGAAAAGCTTACAAAATGTCTTACAAATGGCTATGCTACTTTACTCTGTGCTGACTCCAATGCTTATTTTCATACATGAATTCTTTTAATTCTTATTTTGCCTTAAATTAGATATCCCCATTCTACTAGCGAAGAACCAAAGATTTAAGAAGTTACTGTAATCTAGCTGAATTTCCATGTCTGATATTAGAAAAGCTACAATTTAAGTTCATTAAACTCTTAAAACCTATGCCTTGAATCTCTATCCTTATTTGAAACACAGTATTAGATCTGAAAATGTGATATTTCACTCGACTTAATATTGGAATTCTGACTATATAATTCACTGATTTGACTTTTAAGAAATATGAATACATGTTCTGTTGGTTATTTATTTTCTCATTTCACCTGATCATAGAAAGATTCTTTGGAAAACAATGAAATCTTTTCTATATTTTCTATTGTGTTCAATGCAAAATATCTATTAAATTGATAATGCAATATATGTATGAACACACACTTGTATATATGTGTATACACAGCGAGAGAGAGAGAGAGAGAGAGAGAGAGAGAGAGAGAGAGAGAGAGAGAGAGAGAGAAAGAGAACAGTAATCTAAGCTGTAAAAACA